CATCATTAAATAAAAGAAAGAAGTCTGGGGAGATGGAGGTCAGAAGAAATACTGAGTCCCAGGTTTGCCTTAATTTAGGATACGTTGGGCATGAGGTGGCGTGCCTGTGGGATTTGTGGGTAGGGCCATGCAAAGGTGCCAGTTGGCCTTTTATAACATAACCTCAGTGATAGACATGAGATTTGCAAAGCACAAGGTAAATTAAAATTGACAACAAACCTCAATACTTTAGAAGCAATTTCCACAAACTGGATATCTGAAGCATCAGTAGAATTACAATCATTAGCAATAAATGCATATGTTGTCAACAAAACAGAGTCAAACTTATTCCTTCTCCTACTGCTAAACAGGTGACACTGAAACTCAGGGTTTCTAACATGCTAGTTTATATTGAGCTTTACTTTGAGGACCCATCTACTCTCCCCTCTTAGGACTTGTCTTTCTACAACCATTCTGAGGCTCTATGTCCCAGAAACTACCAAAACGAGCATCAGCAGGGAGAGAAAGCAAGAGGGAGTTTGACTCGGAGGCACGCACAATCCTAGGAAGTACTGCGGACTACAGCAGGCCCTCTCAGCAAGGCTCAGAGAAGGGAGACCTGCAGAAAAAAGGATTTTCAAGTACTTGACACAGTAGCCATATGTGGGGCATCACTTTCAATTCTTTGCTTGAAAATCTCCTCAGTTAAATTTCCAGGCTCATCGCTCCCAAGCTTGGCTTTCCACATAATGATAGGAAACAATTCAGCTAAGCTTACTGCCCCTATAGAGCAAAGGCACCCCTTCCTCTTGTTTCCAGTGACGTCTCCCCCATTCCTTCACCCTCACCGCAGCATGTTTGACATGCTCATTTCCACGGCAGTCTGTTTGTGATGATTTATGTATTATCTGAAACAATACCATTGTTCTCTACCATGTTCCTCACTTCCTTTGGAGTCCTCACCAGCAGAGTCGTTAACATCCATATTTCTACCAACGGTCTGTTCAAGACAATCTAAGGTTTTTCTATCATGCTCCTCAAAGTCCTTCTAGCCTCTGCCCCTTCCCCAATTCCAAAGCCACATTTTTTGGTATTTGTGGTAGTTTTCTACTGATGCTAAAAAAAATTACCACAAACTTAGTGGCTTAAAACAACACAAATTGATTATCTTACAGTTCTAGAGGGCAGAAAAGTCTGCAAGTGGAGTTTGTTGTGCTAAAATTAGGTTGGGAGATGGAAGGAGAGAAAAGAGGTGGAGGAAAGGGCAAGAGAATGAATTTTCATCTTTCTAAAGGTAGACTAGGGAGAGTCTGTCTTTGTAAACAGAACATGAAAGGATGTTTCAGGTTGAAACCTTTCAGAATATGATTTTGAGTTACAATGGTAAATACAAAAGTCACAAAGTTACAAAATAAAAAAACCTCAAGTGTTTATAAAGCTGTATAAGGGCACTAAATCTAAATCTTTCTAATAGCCTAAAGTTGATAAATCAAGTTGGTAAATCAAGAAATAATGGCATAAGCACCTTATTTAGACATATAGAAGTAATCATAAGAACTGAAAGCAGAAATGATTAAAAGTTGTTTATTATGGAGAATAGATATAAGGATGGGGTACATTCAAACAAGGGGCTATTGTATTTTAAGTCCTGTACTATATGCTTGTGTTGCTATAATAAAAAGAAGATGAATGCTTCCAATTCCTTTGTACAGCTCTGTATCTGTTTTCAATGGCTGCATATTTAAGCACTGGGAGTGGAGTAAGGAGTCTGGAGTGTGTCTGTCTCCCCTAATAAGGAATGTCTTCACGTTGTTGATCCTCTCTGACGGGGTGAGCCTTTGCCTCCTCAGTGATCTCTGATGTAGGTTTCAGTACCTCAGGAATTAAATTAAGTGTGCCTAAGCACTGAAAGATCAGGACCTATAATTTCACTTAGCTTTTGTTTCCTTGTTGTATGTAAGAGAACAAAACTGTGTCACATCAGAGACAAGGATGGCCTTCTGTTACTTGGTTGTAAAAATCTCCAAAATCCTCTAGTATTCCCCATGCAATCTAAACTTTTTTTCATAAATAGGCACCACTCCTTCCAAAATTTCGTGTCCTAGACTCATTTCCTTGGGGACATTTAGTCCTCAGGATAACACAATCCTTATAAAATAATTAATTTTATAATGGCCTGGCCTAAAAGAGGCACTCTTCTCTTTAAGTCTGGTTTTCATTACAAAAAGCATTTGCTGGGGCACATGAGATAACTGATAACTTCATTCTAAAATAATTCCTTTGGCTCTCCATATTTTTGCTAATGGTGAAGTAGAAAACTTTCAACTGATCTTGACACACCAATAGGAATTTTCATTTGTTATTTTATGCTACTGTAACAGAGGGAACCGCCTGAAAAAGGGTGAAATGTTTTATGAACTGTCTCTCTAAAATGCCCCTGACTCTTTTTGGGAATTAAAACCTGCATCTCTGCCCAAGGCCAAGTAACCAGAGGAGCAGGGGAGCGTCCTTTGGTTTTTGTACCACAGGAGATGGCTCAATGGGAGTGTCCGGCAGAGGTCACAAGGTTGTCTTTACCAGCAATGGGGTTGATCAGGACCATCACCTATAGTTAAACAGCAATAGCCCTAAGCTAACTCCTTTTAAAAGCTCTGGATTTCTGCTTATAGGGAGGACAATGGTACTTTAAGACAAGAGTCTACCATTGTCCTCATTCACCAGCAAATTAATATACTTCTATTTCCTTCTCCTCAAACCTCTTGTCCTGGTTTTGCAGTCAGCCACGGGACAAGTACTGAACTTTCAGTAACACTAATATACAGATGGGAAGATTTTATACATGTATTCTCGGGCACTCTCAAGTGCATCTGAGGGTAAGGCCTTTATCATATATATATGTCCTTGCCTTCTTCATAGCACTAAATACCATTCCAGTACTCAATAACTACTTAGTGCAAGAGATGGGTAGATTACTGTTTGTTGTTGTTGCTACATTATAGTAGATGATCACAGACTTCTAGTTGGGTGATACTTTTCACTGATGAGTTAACATTTCATAGGTATGCAATATTTCAAAGGTACTGAATATCATACCAAAGAAAAGAGCTCGAGGCATATTTTTTATATATTGACATCTTAGTCTATTAAGCCAATAAATGGTTAATTTTCACAGAAGATATACTACTAGATCATTAATTCAAATGCATGAAGTAGCTTACGGTTTTTATTCTTAGATACTGTTTAATGTCAGGAATGTCAAATAAAATATTCACCAGACAAGTTAAACAAGAAAGGAAGACTTTATTCAGGACTTTGCAATAGGGGTCAAGATTATTGCACTAAGGGAGAGAGAACTCAGCTCCAAACACAATGGGCAGCTGGGGCTTTTTAGTCAATGGGCAAGGTGAGGAAGTCAGTGGCTGGAAAATCATTAAGAGGAACTTGGCTAAGTATTGTTATGGACTGAATGTTTGCATGCTCCCCTTCCCAAATTCATATATTGAAGCTCTAACCCCAAGTGTGGCTATATTTTGAGTAAGGAAGTAATTGAAATTTAAAAAGGTAATAAGGGTGGGTCCCTGAGGTGCTAGAAGAGACACATTTTCTCTCTGCCATCATGCATAACAAAGACAGTGAGAAGGCAGCCATCTGAGCCCACGGACAGAGCTCTTACCAGAAAATGCTCATGCTGGGAAAACTGATCGGGGATCTCCAGAACTGTAAAAAAGTATCTGTTTTTTAAGCCTCCCAGTCTATGGTATTTTGTTACGGTAGCCTAATCAGACTAATACATGAACCAAGAACGGGGGATTCTTGCAAAACTGGTCTCAGCAGGTCAAGAATAAAGGCCCAGTCAAGAAGAGGGCTCAGAGTAGTAAGACTAAAGCTTGCTCAGTCCCTCCTCTTGTTCAAGGAAAGAAGACATTTTTCTTTCCTCTGAACAAAATAAGTCCATTTCTCACTTGGTTGTCTTTTGTTCATTAAGTACAAGCTACACCATTTTCTTGAGACTTGGTTCTAGAGAATTTTCGCTAGATGATAAGAGTATTTGAGGGTTATTTCTATGGAAATAAAAGAAAAACAAAGATCAATTGTTGGAGCAAACTATAAACCTAGTTTGTGAGTGTACATTTTGGCTAGAAGTGTTTTTAGAAGATGGAGTAAGCATGGTAATAGCAATCCAACTGCCACTGCCAGCCAATTCCTGGTTTGCAATTTCAATGTTTTGGTGATGACATAGACATTAGAGAGGATTTTATAAGATTGTCCATGATCATGGATATTTCCCACGTGGCAGATGCTACAGTTCCAGTGAACTTCCTGAGTGGCCCACACAGCAGTAGCTCTGGGCATGAAGATTGCCCATACATGACCTTCTGTGATGACAAGTGCTTCGAAGTTTATATCAATTCCTCCAGCTTCACCTTGCAGGGCTTCTGTAGATCCACGGGAAAAAGACCAGCTAGAAGACAACCTAGCGTCCCAATAAGGATCTGGACAGTCAGGTTTTAGTTAAATCAAGAAAGTGGGAGAAAAATCAGAAACATTAGTTTGGAGAGTTGTAGCCAGATATTGAAGGCAACTAGAAGAACTGAAAATTTGGTAAGGAATGACAAAATGTGTTAAATAGCAGAATCCAATCCAAATTATAGGTAGGTAACAAAATCATATAGGTTACAGAGGTGAAAAATAGCTCAAAGGCAAGGAATAGGATTTATATGTGATAATAAGGATATGCTATAGTTTTCTATTGAAACATAAAATTTGCCTCTATAATAACAAATGATTAATTTTTGCAACAGATACACTAATAGACCATTAATGCATGTACATGAATTAATATATGTCTTTTATTCCTGACTACTATTTAAGATACAGGGCTATGCATTTTTTTCAGTATTTGTTAATTGTTTATTTATCAAGAGAAACAATTCCTCAGCTCACATATTCATAGCTCAGGAACATAAGTCAGTGACAACTTCTATGAAAATCAACCCAAAGAAATTCTTTCATATTCCAAATCACTTTGCACTCTGAAAGATGCCAGCCTTCCCCATCTCCTCAAAATCTTTCATAGAATCATAATTTCTGTAGAAATCTGTACATATCTTCTTTCTTAGTTCAGCCACACCAAACTTATACAAAGCTGCAACCCCCAGGGATACAATGAATGCTCCAACAACAGGAAACCGCAGACATCTGGCCAGGAGGCCACGCATCTGAGGTTTCGTCAAAGCGCTGGAAGCCATGGTAGTTACTATCCTTGATGGGTGTGCCGACCTCAACACGTCCCTCCTGGCTGATGGAGAAGTGAACTGCCAAAGTTAGGGGCCTATAAGATACACATATTTATGAAGTATGCATTTCTGTTTTATGAGTTTTTATTGTTAATGTTATCAGATTAAAAATATCTTGATTCATATTTTGGATTTTATTGTTTGCCATTGATTTTCTTGTTCAGTTTCTTTAAACTCTGTTTTGACTCTAAGAGCTGTTTTAAGTTAAGATCTTCGGAGAGTCATCATTACCAGTATTGTGACTAAGGTAGTGGCAAAGGAACTTACCTGTCCATATGACAGTATAGTTTTTCAGTTTCGTAATCCCAACAATAAATAATCCCGTGGTACTTGGCTTCTTTTTCGAATATCTAACATTGAGACTTTTCATGGTTATATTCTGTTCTTCTTGGAAAATGGGAAAATTACCCACCCACTTGCAGACAGCCTGAGCCATCAAAATAGTTCTGTGCAACCAGCTGTGGGCAAAAGCGACGCGTGCTACTCCTAGGCAGGGTCATTTACTTGCTGGCACAAGACATTCTAAGAGATCCCTTCCATCATAACAATTGGAAGTAACTACCATGGCTTCCAGAGCTTTGACGAAACCTCAGATGCGTGGCCTCCTGACCAGATGTGTGCGGTTTCCTGTTGTTGGAGCATTCTTTGTATCCCTGGGGGTTGCAGCTTTGTATAAGTTTGGTGTGGCTGAACTAAGAAAGAAGGCATGTGCAGATTTCTACAGAAATTATGATTCTATGAGAGGGGTGGCTATGATGGGATTGGGAATGCTGCGCCAATCCATGGAGGAGAGCTGCCCTGGAACGTTACCTGATAAAACTTTTGTTGTGCCAAACCACTGCAATTTTGTGTTGTTAGAGCAGCATAATCTAGCCTGTCCAGACTGATAGAGTTAAAGGAGTTATGCAACAGGAGACCACATAATTTATTATCCAAACCTGGTCACTTTTGAGAATGAAAGGGGACACTATTAATAATTACATCAGACTAACAGTCATAAACTGGGACTGACCTGAGCAAACTAGGTTGTATGGTCATCTTCAGCACGTGTAAATAAAAGCATAGGTGTTAAGAACATCTGACCACCAGTCGGCTTTCTAACGATGTTTTCTGGTAGCATGTTCAAATGTTATTAAAACCACAGCAGCTTGTGCAAGTTTAGATCACAAGATAATGTGACCACAGCCTGGTCACAGAGGATATAAATCTCAGTTTGGAAAATCTGATAAGAAAGAATATCTTATTTCTAATTAATGTTGACCTTGAACTCATATTCTATGGAACTAATGAGAAACTGAGTTATACTGTCAGCATTCCTATTTTCAGGATGATTGCAGTATTCTGGGGTCTCATATATGGTCAAATCTTTGAGGAGGCCCTGCTGGGCATGAGATGTGAGCCGTCCGTTTGTAAGGTGCCCACTGCTCCAGTTGGTGTGCACCCTTCGCTTCTGGAGGTTCTGCGGATCCCATTCTGTATTTGAGGCAAGAGGAAATGTGGTGAAGCTAATAACCCCACGTCCAAAAATGCTGCCTCCCTTGGTGTAGCATGTATCCATTTCCCATGAGGTTTTGCCACCTGCTTGTGGCACTGCCTGATTAACAGGTTTCGCTTTGCTTTGCTGTTCAGTGGACACATAATCCCATTTTCCATTCCTAGTCTATAGAGGGTCTGGGCAGGGGAAGACCCTGCCACAAACTTCATTACTTCTCCATGGCAAAGCATCATGCAACTTGGCTACCTGATAAAATAGACTAAGGGAAAAGAAAAAGGTATAGAATAAAAATACAGCTGTCCCTTTGTATCCATGGGGAACTGATGCCAGGACTTTTCTCAGATATCAAAATTCACGTATACTCAAGTCCCTTATATAAAAAGGCATATTTGCATATAACATAGAGACATCTTCCTGTGTACTTTAAGCCATTTCTAGATTATTTGTAATACCTATACAATGTAAATGCTATGTAAATAGTTATACTGTATTGTTTAGGGAATAATGACAAGGAAAAAGTCTGTATGTGTTTAGTACAGATGCAACTGTCTACTTTTTCCCCAAATATTTTCACTTGTGGTTGGTTGAATCCACAGATGTGGAACCCAGAGACACAGAAAACTGACTGTATAAACTAATACCTCAGAGATATATCTCATCTTTTAGCCTTTTAATTAGAAACCGAGGGAAGCTAAGAAAACAAAAAGTCTGATTGCCTAAGACAATCTAGCTGTAGCTTACCTCTGAGGCCTCAAATTCCCTATAAATAATAGAAAATCACTAATTCCTTTGTAAGAAGTTTACACTGAGTTTTAAGAGTTGTCTAAATAAAAATATTCTTGGAGGGAAATAAAGGTGATTTCATATATGAAACATCTTGCCATGAATTCCTTTATCATATGGTCTTTCCAACATGGTGCTAGCGGGAGTCCTGGGTCCAGCAGGACACGTTTCAAGTCAGCAGAGGAAGGGCTGGGTCACAGGACAATGCAGATGGAGAAGGCATGGATGATACCACAGAGGGGCACTCACGCAACGGTGGGCTCTGCTTACTGAGGTCACCAAAAAGCCAGGAGGACAGCTGCAATGCACATCCACTGATTCATCGTCAGTCCTGGCAGCAGGGGCAGTGGAAACTGTGTGACCCAACCACCTGTGCTTTTCAGACTGCATTTATCACTTAGCCGTGACCTCCAAGGTGGGTAACACTGAAAAGTTTTCCAGAAAGTTTGGTGTGGACCAGCCTCCATAAATATATCCTTGAAAGGATATAGAATTTAAATTACATTCTGATTTCTCTAGTATTTTTGCTAAATGGAATGGTGTTATTTATGGTGTTTTGTTTTAAGATTTTTTCATTTACAAGTTTGTGTTCTGCCCTAATAATGGATTTGTTTCACACTCCTAATTTTAATATTATTTTAATATTATTTTTAGCAAACTATTCTATTCAGTGAAATTTTAAAAAACACTCTATTTGAAGATATATTGGTTCTAGCTAATTCTTCATGATTATTGTGCTCATTGCCTATTTAGAGCAGGAGAATCTATAAATATAAGTTATCACTTCAGTGCCTGGACTTACTACGGTAGTTCAGTATAGGCTAATTGGCCAAAGAATTTATCATCTTCTTTTAAGAATTCAAATGCCATAGTTGTAAACAATATTTACATATATAAACACAGTAACTTCATTTATACTATGAATCACTAATGCAGAATCTGAAACGGTTTGACCTCATAGTATCAGAAAATGTTCACTGAATATTATAGATTCTTTAAAACATATTAATTAAAAATTTACATATAAATTAAAATTATTTTTATCTATAGTTTTGATGCATTTAGTTAACAAGTAGAATTTTTAATAAAGGAAAGATATTTATATAGATTAAAAAACATATAAGAGTAATTTTAATTTTTAAAAATTTTTTTTTATTTCAGCATATTATGGGGGTACATATTTTAAGGCTTCAACAAATGCTCTTTCCCCCTTCCCCCCACAAGTCTGAGTCTCCAGCATGATCATCCCCCAGACGGTGCACATCTCACTTATTATGTATGTATATACCCACTCCCCGCCCCCCAGCCCAATACCCTATTACTATAGTAACTATGTGTCCACTTAGGTGATACTCAGTTAATACCATGGAGCTGGCATCTGCAGACTGACCAGAATATCCACGTAAGGAAGAGGGCGCTTCTAAAGAGCGTGAAGCGAAAAGAAGCAAGTAACCATCAACAAGGGCGAAGCGCCCTGTTGACGTAACCAGCCCTCGTCTCTAATGGACTCCTATACCTACCATCTTTACACAGCAAGAAGAGCACTGGGGCCCATTCTCCACTCTTCGAACAAAAACACCTGGCCCAGCCTAGAATTTTATACGCCTGCAAAGAACGCCTTCAACACTGAAAAGGGAAGGAAAAATAAGACGACACTTCCCAGAGCAACTCGGCAAAGCTCAGAGAATTGCACCAAGCAGCCCGGCCACGCCAGCGCTACAGAAGTACTTAAACGCGTTTACGCACCGGAACCATCGTACTACAACGCCACAAATATAAAAACACCAAACCCTTTAAGATAACGCCAGATATTACATCCGACTCACGACGCCCAATCAACAGCAACAACACCGCCACAAATGACCAGGTAGATCGTACCCAGCCTATCAGACTTCTCTCATACAAATGTGACTGGCTTAACTCTCCCGGCAACCGGAAGACATAGGCGGCCGAATGGATTCGCCCAGCAAAATCCAGCCCGGACGCAACGCCTATATGCGCGTCGTCTTCGGACAACACATCTAATCTGGGCAGAGGATGCATAGTAGTCTAAGAGAAGCTACTAAGCCGGGTGGGACGATGCCAGCGTGATCGCTCCAAGCAAGGTGCGCAGCCAAGAAGAGGGCTGGTGTGGGCCAGCTTCTAATTTCCGATGATCTTAGGTTTAAACAAGCGAAAACAGTACGTGTGGAAGAGACAAAGAGGGTCATGTATACCGGCTAACCGGCCATGGTGAAGGGGCACACTTCGAGCCAAGAAAAGCGAGTAACGAACTTCTACGCAAATATAATACGTGCCCAACCTCTTAGGGTGCCCCAGATTCATAAACCGGCAAACCATTACTCAGAGCTCCTAAGCAAACTGTGATTAATACGCACCCATACATCCCCCTGGAGAATTTCAACCCCCCACTCCGACGCACGAAGACAGATCCTCCCAACAGCAAAAATTAACGCAAGCAGATATGGACTTACAACAAACTCTAGACACAACTTGGGACGACTTTCAGCGAGGACCTTCTACCCCATACACTGAAATATACATTCCTTCTCATCCAGCTCACTGGGACATTTTCTAAGATTGACCATCACCTCGCTTAGGACCCAACAGTAACATCAGACTCAGAATTTAAAAAA